AATTCTCCTGGTAGAAATGTCCAGAGCAGAAAAAGTTATTGTAGCCAGAAGCTAACTTGAGATTTGTTGGCGTCATGGACCACTGTTGGGAGAAAAAGCTTTGTATCGCTCAGCCAGCTCGTCACCCATGTTGATAATTCTGCTTCCTCTTATGCCATTTGCACTTCTAACTTTTTATAACTCAACTCAAAGTTACCACATAAGATAATTCTGCTTCCTCTTATGCCATTTGAACTTTTTATAACTCAACTCAAAGTTACCACATACTATGTATCTCACTGTGGTGTGTTTTAGATATTTTTACATTCTATTTAATTAATTCATAAATATTTGTATAAAAATTTCAGCATATCTTTCTATACGGTATCACAACATCCAGGATTTAGGTTCTTAAAGTCTCACAATTAAAGTCTTTTTTGTTAACTGAAGTAATATAATTTAAGTTGATTAAAAATGTTTGTTTTAAATAATTAAAATTTAAAAAATCTTATTAGCAACTACTACAACATGGTAGTAAATTAATTCTTGTACTTGTTGACAAATTAGCTGAGAACTTTATACCTATTTTTCTTTAGTTCTTTATAGCAGCACTGTAAGGTAGGATTATTGTTCTTACACTTTACAAAAATAAATTAAGCTCAGAAAAGCTAAAAACTTGCATAAGTTCTCATGGTAAGTGATGAAACTATATCTTTCTAACTCAAAAAGCTGAGCCTTTGAAGTTTTTGATGATAGTTAGAATTTATCTGAGTTGTCCACATTAAAACTAGTATATATTTTTCAAAAAGGAATTTTTTATATAAACCAACTCCTTTCAAACAAATTGATAGCATGTCTTATTTATTACCAAAAGAAATGAATGCATCGCATTAGTTTTTAAGCTTATTAAAAGAAAAAGGATATATTTAATTCAAAATCTATCTGCCAATTGTAAGCCAGTTCTGTGCCATATGCAGTATTCAAAAGATGTCAGGAATTTGACATGCAATCAGTGTTTCTGTGCAATGAGGAAACTAGACACTCCAAGAAACCCTAGTAATATATTATGCTCTGCATGAATATGTTTTTAAAAAATCACCTCTCCTCAAATGAATGCTTATTATAATCTTTTAACATTTTAGTCTTTTTCCTTTACTCCATGTTGTTAGGCAACTGTTTGTTAATTGAATTAATTTCACAAAGTACTTCATAGCTAATACTAAAAATCAGGAATTCATTTCTATAGAATTTATTTACTTTAAGTCCTGGAAATTGAATTTATTTTAATGTATATTTAAAGATAGTGTGATGTTAGGATTACTTTAACTAGGGATCCTATATTTGAAGACTTCAAAAACAAACAAAACTCAGATTTAGTCTGCCTTATTATTAAAAAAGAATATGTTTGCTCTGCAGGTGTGGCTCAGTGGTTGAGCATCAACCCAGGAACCACGAGATCTTAGTTCAATTCTCGGTCAGGGCACATCCTCAGGTTGTGGGCTCAATCCTCAGTAGGGGGCATGTAGGAGGCAGCCCATCAATGATTCTCTCATCATTAATGTTTCTCTATCTCTCTCTCTCCCTCTCCCTTCCTCTCTAAAAAACATGTTTAAATTTAAAAATCAAAATGACTGAAAGATTGTTGTTATTTCTAATGTAAAGCCTAGTCTACAGATATTTATTTTATTCTACTCAAATTTACACCCCTTTGTACTGTCCTTGTTAACAAACATCTAATATTTTCATTTAAAAAGAAAAAAGTGACTTTGGAGTATCTTTAGTTATTTATTATTGGTTTTAATTAGTGTCATTGAAAAAATTAAGAGAACAAGAAATTATGCCTTTTTAAATATTTATTTTTATTAA